CCATACTGTTTTCCACAGTGGCTGCACCAATTTGCATTCCCAACAACAGTGCACAAGTGTTCCTTTTTCTCCACATCTTCACCAATACTTGTTACTTCTTGTCTTTTTGGTTCTAGCCATTCTGACAGGTGTAAGGTGATATCTCTTTGTAGTTTTGATTTGCATTTCCCCAATTAGTGACATTGAGCATCATTTCATGTATCTTTGCTATCTTAAAACCTTTCCCTTTTAATTTACATGCATGCAATATTGAGACTTCATGAAATGTATTTATTGAGCCCCTTTGCCTGGTTCGCACCATATTTAATAGATATTAACTTTGTGTGTCAGGGACACAAGATTGAACATGGCCCCTATCTTCAAGAAGCTCACAGATTAAAACCCCTTCGAGGTTCCCTTCCCTGAGATAAACTTACCTTTTTTTTTTTTTTTTTTTTAACTAATCCATTCCTCTTACTGTCCATTCATCTCATCATTCTTCTGCTCCATAAGCTATTTCTTTTTCTCCAGCCCATATACTTCAACTTCAAAATTCTGCTTAAATTTCTCCTACTCCAGAAAGCCCTCCTTACACTGTCCAGTGTCATCTAATTGTATCTTTCTCCAACCCCACAAGGCTAAGGACATTTTTGTCCCATGGGCACCTCGATTTCAACATGAACAGAGCTCATCACACTCCCCTTGTCCAACCCCTTCGATCTCGTCTTCCTCCAGTAGTGCTCCCCACTTCAGTGATGCTGCTCTTACCCACTCGGGAGCCCAAACCAGAAACCTGGGGGCAAACTGAGGCTCCTCTCCCTTCCCTAACCCCAGATTCAGTGACGGTAAGCAGGTCAATTCTACCTTTCAGCTACCTCTTGGTTTTGCTCCTGCATTCTCCTTGCTGTCAGGCGACTTTCTTTTTCATTTAGGCCTTCTGTCTTCCTTATCTCACTTACCATCTGTCTTAAGTGGGTCTCCTGAAAAGCAGATCCCCAAAAAAGGATTTGGGTGTGGGTAGCTTATTTGGAAGGTGATCCTGGCAAGGGCTCTGAGGGAGTGGGGATGTGACACAGGGTAAATGAGGAGAGACAAGAAAAAGTGGCTAATGGGTGAGTCACCACAGAGGACAACTGAAGCCCAATCCACTGTGACACCCCCACCCCCACCCTTGAGAGACTTTGGGGAACATGTTTCAGAATTGTCTCCTTGAGGCATGAGGAAGCTGGGGCCAGAGACACAGGAAGCCATCAGCATGTGTGTGGGGGGCAGTCTGCGGAGATCTCTGGGGATGAGAAGTGTGTGGGGGTGCTCTGACGGCAGCTGTTGTGCCTCCTAATTGGCTATCCTGCTTCCAGTCTTGCTCTCTCTCACCTACTCCCTGACCATTGCCCTAAGTGATCCTTCTAAAATGCCAAATAGATCAAACTATTCCGCCATTTGAGATTTGTATTGCCCATTGCTTTCAGAAGGAAATTCAAATAGGGGTGCCTGGGTGGCTTAGTTGGTTGAGTCTGACTCCTGGCTCAGGTCATGATTTCACAATTCATTAGATCGAGCCCCGTGTAGGGCTCTCTGCTGATAGCGTGGAGTCGGCTTGGGATTCTTTCTCTCCCTTTCTCTCTGGTCTTCCACCATGCACTCTCTCTCTCTCTTAAAATAAATAAATTTAAAAATAATATATATGTGTGTGTATATATGTACGTGTGTGTGTGTGTGTGTGTGTGTGTGTGTGTGTGTATGGGAATCCAAATTGCCTAGCTTGATTTGCTAAGGCTCTGCACTCTCCCCCTTCCAGCCTTATCTCCTACCACTTCCCAGCTCTTAATCCAGACTCCAGGCTTCAGGCACATCATACTAGCTGTGCTTTCTCTCTTGAGCCACACTCAAGAGTCCCTGCACACAGCAGTCCTTCTGCCTAAAGGCTGCTCATAAATATTTAAGGAGCATTTCCTTCATTGCCTATTATGTGCCAGGCACTGTGCTAGACACTTTGGATCAACGAAGAATGAGTCACAGTTCTGGTCTTCAAGGAACTCACTCTCCAAAGGGGAGGAGACAGACATACATAAAGAAGTGGGCACTAAAGTGGAGACTTGATAGATATAAAGAGGGTTTACCGTGCACACAGGAAGAAACAGCTGGTGTGTGCAGAGGAATTTCTTAGATTTCTGAATGGGGCTGGTGAGGGGTCTGGTGGGAAGAGGTGAGGTCAAGGCTGCCCAGGTGGCCAGGAATCCCTGTCTCCATGGGAGCTTGGGCTTTGTTCTTTAGAACAACATAATGAGAGAGCCCCATTTTCAACCTTGTGGACACTTTCTAGAGTCACTGTGGGACTGCTTCCTCTAAGGAGACATTTTCTGTGCTTTCCTAGTACCCTCAGAGACCCCTCTTGGTGGCTGGCAGGCTGTGTATTACAGGGAATTGCTCCCATGGCTTGCCAGCACCTCTGAAGGAATTGCCGCTCTTCCTTACCTCTGTATCACAGTGCCTATTATAGTGCTGCTAAGTCCTTTCAGTTCAGACTGGGCCCCGGAGTGCTGTCAGCAGGCCAGAAAGAGCTAGAGGACTCAAAGACGCTGCTCTTCATAAGTTCCCTCCAAGCCAATGGCACACAGAAGTGTTCCCCTCATGGTTTATGCCAAGCTGAGTGCTGGAAGTTGAGGGGGACACTGAACTTCAAATACGTACTTCTGAGACCTGAGTGGAAGCTGTGATGATATCCTAAAATTGGTTATTTTAATTACAAATGGTAGTGATTATGTTTTGCTACTGTATTTTACTAAAGCTGTGCTCTAGAATTTCTAAACTTACTCTTCCTTCTCTCCATTTTCTTCCTCTGCTTTCCTTCCTTCTTACCATACCCTGAAATTCTTAGACAAGGGCTTTGATATGCATGAGGTTGGGAGAGGCTTTCTCTTAGGTGATACAAACCTTTTTTCACTTTTACTTTGGCTGGAGCCATGACGAAGCCTTCTGGTTTTTTGGAGTGACCAACAGCATTTGAATGGGAAGGCAGGCAGTCTGAGCTAGTCTCCTGTGTCCCGGGGTGGTCAGCTTCTGGAGAGGTGGGTCATGGGGCGGAGTTAATTGGAGGATGAAAACTTCTTTTGGAAGTCTGTTCTATGTGGCCCCTCTTCTTCCACGGTGAAGGGCAGGTGGGAATGAGGGGGCTATTGATCAGTGTCCCCTCCACCTCAGAGCCTAGGCTTTGAAGTAGAAGTATCAATCTCTTCTATTTTCCTGGAGCAGAGAAGTCAAATACAGCTGCCTTTGCAGCTTCCGTCACGTTAAAAAACATGCATTTCCACAGGACTTGCTGATTTACACCAAATTTTAACGTGTCTTCAAAACTTCCCTATAGTCCTTGCTGCTGGCTCTTCTGGAAAGTGATACTGTGGGGCTGTGAGGAGAACTCCGGGTTTATTTTCCAGTGTCTGGTGTTTGTGTGCCACTTTTGTGTAGGGTTCTCCTCAGTACGTTGCCCTGTCCTTGAGAGAGGAAGCCTGCGAGCCTCCAGCTTCCTTTGTAACTTCCCAGTTCCTTTGCCCGACCTCTGCGCATCTGCTCACCCACCCCAATCACTTGGTTTCAAAGTGCTGCGGTACTGAATTTCTCTTTCAAATGAAAATAAGTCTGTTATTTGGCTCTGTGTTCATTGCATAGGCACCTCTGGGCGCAGAAGTAGGCAGTGTGGCTGTAGAAACTCTCCAAAGGTTAGCAGCCCTCAGGATGCAAGTTCCAACAATGGCTCACCTCCTGATGACCTTCGTCGACAAAACCAATAACCCCGCAAAACAGAAGGGCAGTCCCAAGCATACCTCCTTTGCACCTCTCTCAGAAAAGGCAGGATACAGAGTGGTTGGGAGTTCAAGTCCTCGGTGCCCTCCTCTTAAGCTGTGACCTCAAAGGGTCACTTTAGCGCTCAGCTTCCCTTTCCTCTTCTGTAAAATGGGAATAGAAACTGAATCTACTTCACGGGGATGTTGTGAGGTATACATGGGCTATCAGACGCAACATGATCCGTACACAGTTTGGCGCTCAAGGCATACTACACCTATGCGTATTAGTAATTGGCTATTACTGAGAGATCGTGTCTCTCCCGGGACGTGGGGCGCTTGGCTCGCCAGGCTGAAAGAGGTCGCTCACTGCAAACCCCTGCAAGTGCTACTCTCTCCGGGCCCAGGTCCCAGCGGTCACGACGCGCCAGGGACCGAAGTCCCATTGTGCTTGCTCAGTGAGGGTGACCGGAGCGGCCGCCCAGACGCGAGCACAGGTGCGGCCCTCACCACAATGAGGGCGTGGGCGCGTGCGTGGCCAGCAGAGGTCTGCAAAGGGCCAGTGTAGCCCGACTGCGGGCGGGCGGGGACAGGTGCTGGCGCGGCCCCAGGAGCTCGGCAGGAGGCGTCTGGGCCGGCCCGAAGGACCCTGCCTGGCACCGGACTCCGGGCGTCTGCCGAAATCGCGCCCCGGAGCCCCGGCCCCGCCCCCGGAGCCCCGCCCCTCGGTGCCCCCGGTTGGCTGGAGCCGGTGGCCACGCGCGGCGATTTGTCACGCGCCGCGTCACTAGAGCCGCTCCCGGTCCCGGCCCCCGCGGGCTGGTCAAGGAGGCAGCGGCGGGGGGGAGGCTGGGGCCGTAGGGCGCGACGCCGCCGGGCCGCCCCGCCCTGGGAGGCGCCTAGGCCCTCATCAAGTGACCAGTATCCCTTCCAGGAGAACACGGTCCTTCAGAGGGAAGCGAGCTCCAGCCTGCAGCCCCGGCGCCAAACCGCCGTCATCTCCTTCCTGTGCCGGGTGATCCGTCTCCTCACCCACCCGGAAAAACATAGTCCGCCCCTCGCGTCCTTGTGGAGTAGCGCTTGCTTTCCCTGTGACTCTTTTCCCGTACCCTCGTCTTTCCCATACAAGTTCTCTAGGACCCACCGAGAGTATAAGTCAGCGCTGAAGAGAAACCTCAAAGGAAAAGGGAGAGAGAGAGAAAGAGAGAGAGAGAGGGAGCCGAGGGGAAGGGAAGGCGAGGCTGGCGGAGGGACACCGAGGGACGACGGCCGTAGTGCGCACGCGCGGCGGCAGGAACGAGTTCCGGTCTGGCCGGGGCCTGTCTCCTAAAAATAGCCCCGGTGTGGGGATCCGTGCGCGGATGTCCCGGCGAGTCCCGGGCTGAAGGAGGCGGCTCCGGGCGGCGCGGAGCGCTGGTGGCTGGCCGGGGCTGCAGCGTGTGTGCGCTCGCCAGCTGCGCCGGAGACACGGTGAGGGCCGCGGCGGCTCCGTCCACCGGGACGACGGTGCCGGAGGGGGCGGTGTCTCGGCGAGGGGGCCGGGTAGGGGCTGGGGGCGCTGGGGCGGGGGGCGGCGCGGCCGGGGAGGGGCGTCGGCGGGACTCCGGGGACGGCAGGGCAGGGCGGCGTCCGGCTGGCAGGGGGCCGGGGTCGCGGGCGCGCGGTGGCGGGGCGGGTGGGGTGCGGGGTGGCGGCGTGGGCTGGTCGCGAGGGGTCTGCGTGGAGCGGCGAGGCGCCCGCGGTGGTGGGGGCGGGGTGCCCCGAGGGCGGGCCCGGGGTCTGACCGCTGTCGCCGGCCGGCGGAGGGAGGCTTGGGCAGCGCGGGCTTGGCGCGGGGAGCCTCCCCGTGCGCGCACCGGCTTTGGGGCTGGGGGACCGTGGTGGCCGGCGCCTCCTTGAAAGTTGAGGGAGTTCCCCGGGGGCCCGGAGCCTCTCCGGGGCGTTCCTCCCGAAGGCCCTTTTCCTCCCTCTTGCCCTCCGCCGCCCGGGTCTCCCCACAGGGATTGACCCCTCGTGCCGAGGGCGCTCTGCGCTGTAATCGGACTTGAAGAAGTTCCCCCACTTCTGCTTTGGGAGAAGGTTGGTCGAAGCGGGCGGAACATTGAGGTCCGAACGCTGGGCGCGTGTGTGCAGATGTCAGTGGCGGGGTCGGAATGTGGGGCGGACCGGGAGGTGGCCCCAGGCTGGGGGCACCTGGCGGGGTGCGGGGAGCCGTCGCGGGGAAGGGGAGGCTGCGGAGGGAGCAGCTAGCCTCCCCTGACATCCCCGGTAGATCCCGGCTCCCAGGGAAGGTTTTATGTGGTAGAAACTTTGCCTTTAGTTCGATATCCTCCCTCTGTCTTCGAACAGCGGGGATTAAGTCAGTAGGTGAGGTAGTGCAAATAAGTTTGGAAGAGGTGAGCATCTCTGAATTAGAAAAACAGATCTACCTTCCCTCCCCATGCAAGTGTAACTATAAACGTATTCTTCAGACTTGAAGTGTGTGGTTCCAGGGGTACGAAGCGAGCCCCTTGTCATGGTCCAGTAGGGAAACCGTGTGTAGACTGAAGAATTGCGGCAGCGTTGACCTGCATTTTAGTTGACAGTAAGATTGGTATTGCAGTTAACGCGCCATTTGAAAGGCTTGCTGTGATGTGCTGACAATGGTGTAAGTATTTTTAAACAAATGTCTGAGATTTTTCAAAATCTTTTTTTTTTTTTTTTTAGCGCAGCGCGTTTCCCTTGTGTCTCGTATCATCTCTTACTATATGAAGAGAAGGTTCTCCAGAGCTGTAATTAGGTGTGCATTACACAAGAGTACTTTCCCTTTAAGAATCCAGCTGTGTTGTTTTGGCAACTGCCAAGTGCTCCAGTTGTCAGTTTTAAAATCTGTTACCTTGGCAGTACTTGAACAGTCTGTAGAAAAGGTAAACAAAATAGCTTAAAAAAAATTTTTTTTTGAAAACACAAAAATGGCATTTATTTTAATGCGAATTTAGAAGGTGAGGATAACATAGCTGTGTTGTGCTATTATGGCTTTTATACGTACATTTTTGTTTTGGGTTTTTTTGGGGGGGGTATATTTTTGGAGGGTTCAGTCTTTACTGAATGGCAACTTTTGTTTTAGGGAAAAAGTCAGAAGTGTTTAAATTAAAGCAGATGCCAATTTTAGTTACGCTTTATAGCAAACATAAGGAACACATGTGTCCTATAAATTATTAAGATTAGTTGTATATAATGAGACACTAATTGATTCTGGAATCACTTTTAATTCTCAGTGAGCATTGTAAAAAGTTGTGATAATGGTATTACAGTAAAACTCTGAAGAGCTAAAGCTAGTGATTTAAATACTTTGTAGACATAGTCTTTAAGAATTGTTGGAAGAGTGTTTCCAGTAGAAAGGTTAAGGCAGTCAGCGATTGTGAGTAATAATGATTATTCTAAACATAATTGTTTGCATATCTATTTCATTTAATTCACATTTTGTTGTATATAAAACCATGGTTTTTGTTCATATTGGAACAAAGGTGGTGTTTAATGTTTATGTTTAGTTCTTTAAATTACTTTCTAGCAAAAGTTCAAATTGTTGAGGGAGTTGGGGGGGCTGCTTAGTGGAAGGAAAATAGCTCATTGGGGCTCTGACATAATAATTGTAATGTCACTATGCTGAATTACGGTTTGAGAATAATCTCCTTCCAAATTCTTAAGTTTCTCTGTTTCCTAAGTGGGTATGTGTGACAAAGATTGTTTTTTTGTAAATGCAGCCGGAAATAATCTTTTAAAGATACTGAGTTGTTTTTGAGTGATGGTGTTTTATTTTTCAAAGCAGTTGAATTATAGTTCTGTACTTACCATTTAGAATGCAGTACAGGTTAAAATTAATTTAATTAATATTCAAGCAGTAGCAATGTCACTCATTGTTTGGCTACCAAGAGAGAAATAACCAGTGTATTCTGAGGTGGTTAAGTAATAATAAAAGTGTTTTTATTAGAACATAATTTTGAAGTTTGAAATATTTCAGTTAAGCCTTTTAATGGATTGTGTTCTGATTTAGGAGGAGGAAACTGTAAGCAAATTTGTTTTTGGGAAGTATATGCCTTTCAGTCAGGTTTTAGAAAGACACCTTTTTTCCCTTTTCACTTAAGTTTGGCAAAAGGAATTTAGTCTGACATACAATGTTGATGGTCTTGAATTTTCTGTGGGCATTTTCAGTTTCATATATTTGTCTTGCAATTAGATTGTGCTTTTTTTTTTTTTTTTTGAAGAGGTGCTCATAGTGCTTATGAATGCTACAAAGTCTAGTTGAAGTAGTTGAAGTTTTCTTTTAGCCGTGATAGAGCAATGAAAATACTGCTTTGTGGGTAGAAAATGATCAGTATTGCTTTTTCCCAGATGAGAAAGAAAATCTGTGAACATTCTTAGTAAATTGAGAAGTGAGTGTCTTCCAGTGTTGAAGTAATAAGAGAAACGTAAATATGGAAAATCAAATCAATCTTGTAGTTAGATAGCCTCCTGCAAAAGAACACTTTAATACGCGCCTTGCTGTGTTTGCAAGTCCTCATAAAGGAAGGCTGCTTGACTTTGGCATCACATCTTGGTTCAGATCCCAACTCCACCACTTACTCATAAGATGTCACTTATGAGATGTCTTCTGTAAAATGGGAGGGAATTATACTACCTGCCCCATGGAATTGTTAGCATTAAATGAAATAATGGGAGTGAGAGTGCCTAGCACACTACCTGAAGCTTAATGTACAAAAATGAGTACTGCCTGATGTCCTTCATCTCTTCCTCTGTGCACCATTCTTCCATACATTTTCCCTTCTGTGAAGACTGTATAAGTACTCTCTCCAGTACCTCAATGTTTAGTGTCTGTGACCAAGAGGACTTCATATAATGTATACATGCAAGAGACTGCTCATATATTTTAGGAGCATAAAAATCCCCAGCGTTTTAAAAATAATTTTTAAAAAATGTTTATTTTTCAGAGAGAGAGAGAGAGAGAGAGAGAGCACATAAGTGGGGGAGGGGTAGAGAGAGCGCGGGAGACACAGAATCTGGAGTAGGCTGCAGGTTCTGAGCTGTCAGCACAGAGCCGGACGTGGGGCTTGAACCCTTGAACCAGGAGATCATGACCTGAGCTGAAGTTGGGCACTTAACTGAATCCCCCAGATGCTCCCAAAATCCCAGCATTTTAAATTTATTGTCAGATTATACGTAAACTGTTTAGTTGGCTGTTCTACATTAGGTTTTTGATCTATGATCATTGTAACCTCCATAATCTCTCCAAATATTAAAAAAAAAATAGAATTCAATGTATTTTCCCAACTCTTCACTGAAATATCTTTTGTGAATTATCTGTGTGAGTTGTCTTCAAGATACAGTATTTAAAATTTGAAATTAGAAAACTATTTTTGTTGCTTACCTGGAATAAGTATATTTTAAAAATAACCTTTCTTTAGTTGGTATCTGTAAGTTTTTATGTTTCATTTTACCTGCTCTGTGGAACTAAATGATTTTATCTGTGTATACTTTATCTGTGTATACTTTATCTGTGTATACTTTATCTGTGTAATCTTTAATGGTCCTGTGTCTAGTTTATTATAATTAAAAATGTAAACCCATTTATTAGTCTCTTGCATAGCATATGTGTTGCTATACATTTAATAAATACTATATTTTTATACAGATGTTTATTTACTGACTTTAGTAATATTTGTGTTTATTGAACTTATTTGATACTAAACTATTTAATATTGAAATGTCTTTGTAATCACTCGAAATCATAAACTGGTGAGTTAAAAAAAATTAGCTGGTTTCTGAGGTAGAATACCAACTATTTAAACATTGGTGTATGACAGCAGGTAATTTACTTCATTGGTTTCATAAATGATGATGCTGAAAGCCGAGGAATTGTTAACATGGGTGAAAAACACACTATTTGATCGGACTTTTAATAAATGCCATCCAAGGCACATCTTGTCTTGAATCAATGCTAATTTTATTTTCTTCCTTATACAAAAATGTAAACTTTATGAACTTAAAAAATAATTCAGCCATCAGTAAAGTTATATGCTTTGAGAAATATTTTGGTATTGGGGCAACAAATTTACACCGCATGAGCTGGACCTTTTTACCAGGTTATTTTTGTTATGAGCAGCATGCATATACAGGTTGACTTGGATTAGTTTGAGGTATGCTTTGTGACTCTTGTAACAAAAGGATACTCTTCATGTAACCTAGTAAGATAACTTGTACTCCTGGCGTGGTAAAACTCTGGCGCTCTTGTTTGTCTCCCCTCTTATTCCCTAGCAATTCACATTTTACATAGAGGCTGGGACTATATAAAAATTTACATCTAAATGTCATTCTTTTAAGGAAAACTTTGAAGGCATATAAATCAGTAGAGAGGCAGTAATTTAAGGGATAAGATAGTGGTCTCTAAAATCAAGTCTTGCCTAAGTTAGAATACCCAGCTCTACCCACCTTGT